TCCATGGGCCATAATTTACCAATTTCTGATCCAAAATATTTTTAAAAATCCGTTATGTGTTTGTGTATTTTTTTTAGATTATTTATTTATTTATTCGTCAGAGAGAGAGAGGGAGAGCACAAGCAGGGGGAGGGGCAGGCAGAGGGAGAAACAGACTCCCTGCTGAGCAAGGACCCCGATGTGGGACTCAATCCCAGGACTCTGGGATCGTTACCTGAGCTGAAGGCAGACGCTTAACTGACTGAGCCACCCAGGCGTCCCTGTATTCATGTATTTTTAAGTTAAAAAAAAAATTTACCGAGCTTCTACTTCATATGATGCATAGATTCATTTTCCTTAGAGAATATTTTAGGAAACTCTGTGAGGGAGTGCCTTGCCTTAAACATGAAAGATTTTCCTTACTTTTTAGGTTTACTGTATATGCTAAATGCATACCTACATCTAGAAAGTAAATGTGGTAAAAATGCATTTTTCCATCAATTCTAAGATGCACAATTTTTATACTTTAATCCCCATGAAATCAGAATATGTCTTGCAATTTATAATGTCTTACATTTGAAGAAATAGAGAATTAGCTCCAAAAACAAACCTGTGGTTGAATACGTTGTTTTTATTACACATTTCAGGGAGGGAGAAGGCACACAGAGTAAAATGGTATTGAAAATGACTTACAGGATTTGGGTTTGTATCAGCAGATATGGGGAAGGGTTTATAGAGGTGGATATTTGCTCTCGATTGGATGTTGTCATGAAGTGTGTGTAATTTTACGACTGGGTATCTTAATAAATCTCAGCCGGAAGATGGGAGGTGTAGACCAAGACAAAGTTGTAGTTGGTAAAGAGGCAGTAGTCATTCATAGTGCCCAGGATAGAGGCATATTCAGTCACTCTTGTAGCTTGAACAGTGTTTATAATTACAGAGTGATCATCCTTTTTGTCTCAATTCCTCATGGTCACAGAGTGGCCTTGTCTGATGTTGATGTTCCATGAAAGTGTGGCCACTGTGGCCTCCCTGTGCGTGGCAGACCAGCCCCTGTACATCATAGGCTGCTCTCCTCCATCTCAATATAATGTTACATTGATCCACTTGTCATGTTTCTAAACACTTTTAGTAGATATCAAAGAGCTTTCCAGATAGTCTTTATTCTTAGAATTTAAGATTATTTGAAGTTTAGTTAAGTCCGGACTTTAGTGCCTAACACATTTTCCTGAATATAGTAGATCCATTGTTAAATGAATTAATTCCACTTGTAAGGTATATTTTTCCCGTGACTGAATCCCAAATAAAATGTATAGGCACACTTGACTCATGAGCTTCTGTTATTTCATTGAAATGCTGGAAAGTTTTCAATCTGTTTTCCTACTCTTACCTAAGGTAATACAGCTTTCAGAACAAAATGATTTACCATTAGGCCAAAAGACCTCTGAGACATGAATTTACCTTAGAGAAATATGTAAACTATTTACCCTAAATGAGAAAATAAAAAGCTAAACATGATTGCAATAACCTACGTTTTAATACTTCTGACTGGAGAGTTATTGTGTGATTTAGTATGGCTCCTAATGCTTTCCAAGTCTTTGTCCCAGAAATTATAAGCTTCATGTAATAAGGGCTGAAAAGCTCTATTGCCAAGTCTTAGATAAACAGGGAAAGAAACAAAGTTGGAAGAAACATAGCAAACAAAGCATATTGGATATTGTACAATGGGAACATTCTGCACAGATAATTGGGATGTTAGAGTCACTTAAATTCCTTGACTTAAATTTTATGGTTAAGTGCATCATTCTTTTCCAGCAATTCTTCAAATGTCATCTTTTTCACAGCAACATCATTCTCATAAATAAAATGAAACTTGTTTCTGAAAGTGTCATTTTTTAACACCAAGAGCAGAGTGTTGTAAAAGTGTGTGTGTGTGTGTGTGTTTACATAAGTGGGGACTCATGGAATCATTTAAGTAAAAAGTTTTCTGAAAAAATTTCTAGAAAATGCTATGTATTAGAATGGAGTTTAGTTAGAATGGAGCTTCATTTGACTTACAGGATCATTAAAATAGTCCTTGTTAAACTATCACTCAGAGGCTAAGGAGTCGAAAAAGCTACTACTGATTTAATAAGGTCTTTGAAACTTTGTAGTTTTATAGTAAGGGTTGTCCACTTGTGGACAAAAATGTGTATTACTGCTATTTTAATGTTATCAAACTTAAAGTTGATGATGTAGTGAAAGCAAGGTGGGTAGATTTAGGCTATGGTTCAGGTCTCAGCTTTGGTTATGGGTGATTATTTCACACATAATGATAAAATATAATTAATATAATATAACACATAATAAATTCAAAAACTAGGTAAGAAACTAGAGTGGTTATGCCTGGACCAGTAATGAGAGTGTCATGGTGTTAATGTGTAATGTTTGTTTGTATTTGTAGGTTGCCAAAATGGCATTGACCGTAATGGAAATTTTTGGTTAATGTGTCTATCTTAAAATTAAAATTTTTAAAAATCAAAGGTCACCTTAAAAAAAGGTAAATTACAAATGGAAACAATCTATGTGCCCCCAATTCTCCTTTTCTCACAGATGTGGGAAACCATGAGTTAAAACAAAGGAATGATTACCTCAAATTCACGTTAGTGCTCAGACATAGGGAAAGAGGTCACAATGAGGGAAAGCACAATGGAGTCTTTAAGGCTATTGGTAATATTCTTTATATTAAGCTCAGAGGTGGATATAAGGTTGCTCTTTCTTATGACATTATTGGTATATATAATCCTTTCCATGTATATTGTGTTAATATATGTAGACTCTGGGCAGATTACCTGGCATTATCAATTTCCAGCATAATCCTTTTCAGTTTTGTGAGGTATATGCTTCAAACTGATGCTGGGATAAAATAATTTAATACATATTGATAAATTAGAACAGGGTCTAGCACATAGTAAGTCCTCAATAAATATCAGCTCTTATTTTTATGGCAAGCCCCATAAAAGCCATTTGTAGACTTATTTAATCAGCAAAACAATCTTCTGAAGTCAGTATCTTTAACATTTATAGAGAAGCAAATTTGTTTCCCAACATAAATGCCATTGTCTTGGTCCTATAGCTAGCATGGAATAGGGTCAGAAGTCAAATTATTATACTCTGAATCATAATTAGTTTACTATAAAATGCCTACAAAGAACTCAATGTTAAAAAGAAGACAGTGGCTGTGGCCAAAAAATAACCTTGGCCTGGCATTCAGAATACCTGTGTTCACTCTCTGTTCCTCTTACAGTTAGCCTGTGACTATGGCCACTGATCCTCTGTGGGCCTCTGGATACGATTTAGGCTAGATAAGGTTATATCTGAAGCACAATTTTAGCTCTAGGATTATGTCACATCTTTGATATTTTTTCTTATTACCACCGATATTTTTGTAAGGTTTGACAAGAGAGTAGGTGGAGTGGGGGGGTACATCCAAGTTAATTTTCCAAGATAAATTTGGCTTCCCGTTAGTCTATTTCTTATTCTTTATTTGCTTCACTCTTGCTTTGTTTTCTTGTCTCTCTCTTTTTTTTTTATGTGTGTCAACATAAAACCATTTTTTTTCTGCTCAGCATTTTTTATGAGGAAAAATAAAATCCATGTCTTTGGTACCGAACTAGAGCTTTCTAAAAAACTGCATCAACTACAGTCATAGTCTAATAGAGAATATAACATACTTTTGACCAGCTCTATAACCCAGTGGTTCAGAAGAGATATAATGTTGTATCTCTTTAAAATGTTGAAAATATTTTACTGACAGTTTTGCAGTCCATGAAGCTTATGCTGGGGAAATATAGAAAGAAAATATGGAAAGTGCTCACATTTATATTATTACTTCGAAAGGACTTAGATTGTCTAGTATATAAGAAGCAATGAATAAAAATTGGTTATTACTATTGCTAATGCTAATAAAACATAATTAGGCCTAAGAAGTGGAACAGTTTAAGCTGTCAGTTACCCGGTAGGATAAATAAAAATTTTAGTAGAGTTTGAAGGTTGTTATTTGTAGTATCTAACAGACAGGCACTGGGATCCTAGAAAGAGGGGAGAAGTTCCAAAACCAGTTGCTGGGGGCACTGAAAACACACTTCACTGATTTTGTAGTTCCCTAAGGATAGTGTTCGGGTAAGGAACCACACAATTAGGTAAAGATGTGAAAGCAGCTTTTACGTTGGCAAACAAGTGTTTAAACTCTGAACTCCTAAGTTAGGTGACCCACTTTGGAAATACGAATAAATATTTACATAAATGTCACTCTTAATGTCTTTCACATACATTAAACAGCCCTAAAATTATACTATAGATGGAATAACCAGAAGAATCCAAATACAAAAGACACTAATATTACTGGGAGTGCTGGATGTTATTGTAAGACAAATGAGCAATGATTACAAGAAAATTTTGTGGATAATGAGAAAATAAACTGTCATTTGGAGGGAATATCAACATGCATTCAAATAACATCAATTCTATACCTACTCTGAATAAAGACTGTTTTATATTGGGCTTTATGGTCTTAAAGACAAAAGGAAAATATTAAATTAATTTTTTAGGAAATAAGATTTTTAGAAAAAGTCAAATAGCAGGTCCTTCTGCCACTAATACATTTGAATAGCAGTTCTTTGTTGTTAAGATATCAGAGAGTACAAAAACCAACGGCCTCCGAAAGAAGCAAATATGCATGTTTTCTGAATCTTCCGAAGATTGCCTCGAAAGGACTGTCTGTATATGTGAATAAATCATCCAAAATGCTTTCAGTATCATCAAAACCTTTCCCTTTTCTAAGTACTTCAATGAAAGACTTATTTTTCTCTGAAAACATATTTCACTTTTAAATCATGACACTTCCAGATTTTTCTTTCTGAGACAAAATTATATTCTATTTGTAGCAATTATGATATTAAAATATAGGTGTCCTTACAGATAATAATGGCAGTTTTATTAATATATTTTCGAATATCCTCTTTCCAGAACATAATTTGATTAACTGTATTAAGAAACTCATCAGTTGCCAATTATTTGTGCAGGGGCCATGCTAATCTTCTCTGTATCGTTCCAATTTTAGTATATGTGCTGCCGAAAGTTGCCAATTATTTGTAAAGAAATATTGATTTTATCAGGCCAAATATGAAGAATATTTACATATTCAACATTTTGCACCAAATAATTTGGGGCAGTAGTAAATGCACTGGGTACAATGTAAAATATTAAAATAACTTTCTCTGTTTTGTTTTCTCTGTTCCATTACCCATTTTCACTGTATGAAAGTAAGCATATTAAATAAGTTGCTCTGGAATCTTAACGTCACTTGAAGATTGAATGGCAGCCAAGCATTTTCTTAGGAATCTTTCAGAAGACTGAAGTACTTAGAAATTGAGGATTTTAAGAGTGCTATATTTCAAACCTATCATTTTCAACATTTTATCTTAATTTTAAACACATTTTAGTTTTGAGAGGAGAAAGAGGAACAATTGTGAGAAAAAACAACAACAACAACAAAATAATTTGGATTAGTTCTTTCCAGAAACTAAACGGTCAGTTAATGAGTCAGTGTAAGTTTCTAATAATAGTCTATATTTTAACTCATTTGTTGGTTGTAGACTAATTTGAAATTGCAGCATTCTGGGAAAATTGTACCCTAAGTACAATAATGCAATTTTCTTTTTCCCAGAAGTTGACTCTCTGTGTGTGTGTGTGTGCGCATACATGCATGTGCATTGGGAATATGAAGGGGAGAAATCTGACTTACTAATTAAATCCATAAAAATATGATGGCGGATCTTTACTCTGTTTCCATTGTGCTATCATAGTGGAGCAAGTGTAGGAGAGGATTTAGTGTTTGTAGAGGAAAGTTGCCTATCCAAGTAAGCCTAGCGCAAACAACTATACCTTAATACGCTAGCTAACTGGGGATACCCAAAGAACTTATATGTTGTATCTTCTTAGGCATCTATTCATTCATTCGTGTTCATTTATTTTACATGTATTTATTATCTACAATTTGCCAGGAACTAATGTGGTACTGGGAATACAGTAGGAATAAAACAGACATGGTTCTTATCTTCATGGAATTATCAATCTGATTGGGATTGAGGTGTTGGATGTGTGATGAGTAGGAAATAATCAAATACAAAAATATATTCTCCTTCAGGAAAACATACAGAAAATGTGTGACAAGCATAATATGGCCAGACGATGTCCAGAAAAGTTTTCCTAAGGCAATGACATTTGAGTGAAGACTGGAAGATGAGTAGGAGTTAATTAGCTCCACAGACAAGGCATTCTGGGAGGAAAGAATGGCATTTCAAAAAATTCTGGGGAAGAAGGGAGCATGGTTCTTTTAAGGAACTGAAATTTGGGCAATTTAATGGAACGAAGAGAAGAAGACTTGCACACCATGATGCCACAGGGCTTGACAGTGACGAGATTTGGTCCTTAATGCTAAGGAAAGTTATTTATTAAAGTATTAAATGGAGGGGTGGCATGATTAGATCTATGATGTATAAAACATCCCTGGGATTTCAGGGTAGAAAATGTACTAGAACATCCCAAGAGTAGATGTGCAAGACTATTAGCAGGGAACTACCATAACCAAGGAAAAATTGGTAGTAGATCAGACTAGAGATGGTGAAACAGGTCAGTCTTATAAGATATTTTGGGGACAACATATAAGGTACTGGGTTGAGATAGTAAAATTTGAAGGATAGCAGTTTACTGCAAGGGGGTATTTGTGTTATACTGAGTTTGAAGGGCATTTAAATTGTCCAAATGGGGATTCAAAACAGTAGTTGGATGTGTATAACTGGAAATGGTGAGTGTATCTTGGGCTAGAGGCTTACATTTAGGAGTCAACATCTTATATAAATGACATCTGAAACTGTGTAAGTGTAAGAGTTAGCCCAAAACATGTAGAAATTGGAAAGAAAAGAAAATTATAGTAACAGTTTGAGGAACAGAAAGAAGAATGCCTGATAGAGATTAGAAAGAAGAGGCAGAAAAGGAAAAAAAAAATGAACAGAACACAAAGAGTAGTAAATCTTTTAATTGGAATGATATGGAAAGCTACTGAGACAAAGATGGAAAATGTTCATTATGAGGAACATGGAGGGTTATGGAGTTATTGGAGTCTTTGACAAGAATAATTTTAGTGGCGTGGCAGGCACGGAAGGAAGGTTACCTTGGGTGCAGGAGTAAGCACAATGTGAGAATTGGAGATGGAGCAAAGATAGTGCTGTAGTGGGAAACAAGAGTGGGAAGATAAGAAAAGTCCCTCTGCCCACTGTGTGCCCCACCCACAATGGGTAATAATTGAGCATGTTGAAAGGCTGATGGGGAAGGAGCCAGTTGAGAAGGAAATGTTAAATATAGGAAATATAAAAATAGAGAAAATATAAGAAGTGTTGAATATGGAAAAAAAGGTAGGAATCACTGGGAGCACCTTAATCCAATCAGGTTCTTAACTCAAAATTGGGTGCAATTTCAGAATGGATTTTTCTACCTTTGCTTTGCCGCATATTGTAGGGTGTAGATTTCCAGGGATACCAGCTGTTTTATAGGACCCTTGCTATTTAGTATGACTTCATTTTCATCTCTTAATCAGCTTGAGGCTACAGATAACTTCCCTCGGCTTTTTGGTGGCTTTATGTTTAGTTTTTAGCATCTTGCTCTTTCCTGGTTAAAAATTCACTGGGGTGGGGTGTTAGGGGGAGAGCCCCTGAGTTTGGCATTACTTCCCTTCACCTTCCTTCTCAAGATTTTGGCTCATTGAATCATGAATGCCTGGCCAGCAGCAAAATTTTGCCTCCCTTCCCCTTAGGAGATTGTCAAATCTTGCCTTGGTCTGCTGCATCTTTGCTTCATTCCTAGGAGTGGTTTATCAGCCTCTGGCTCTATGCTACATATCAGCAAATATCCTGAGCAGAAATGTTCACATTTCTGGGGTTCCCTTTTCTCCAAGATCTTGGCCTCTCAAAAGGCTAGTTTCTTTAGCAACTTTGCAATGTATTCAAGCAAATGGTGTATTTTATCCAACTCCTCTGATTGTTTCCGGTAGAACATGGCTTTGCTGTAAGCGAACATATTATATCCCAAAGTGGCATAGTTGTGCTTCACCTAACTTTAAATACAATGAGTGGGTAATTCAATAAAAATCTCAAAAGTTATGCTTAAGGTGCTCTTTTATCTTACGCAGGTATATTATGATAATGATGATTCATTCACGGTTCTGATTTTGCATAGAAACTTTTAAAATTGCTAGCATTCAATGCCCACCATAGAAGCAAAGTTCTTTTAATTAAAACACCCTTTTCCTCTTAGGGGCAATGCATGGTTTTGTAAAGATTGATAAGCAAGAACTAACGTTTTGGGTTCAATTCATGATTTCTCAGGCCATGGATTTAAGGATGTTCTCTGAAGAGGGAAAGCATGTATCCCTCATTTCAATGATTTCAGGCCCAGAGAGGTGGCAGTTAGAGCTTTTAAGGCTAACAATGCTCTTTTTAATCTTTATTGTTTTTGACAAAGAAGCTTTTATTTTGCCAAATTTTTAGAATGAAATAATGGAACAGATTTTTTTTTTTTTTTACATGCTGTAGTTTATAAGAATTTAGTGTTCTAGGGGCACCTGAGTGGCTCGGTCGGTTAAGTGTCTGCCTTCGGCTCAGGTCATGATCTCAGGGTTCTGGGATTGAGCCCCAAATTGGGCTCCCCACTCAGCGGGGAGTCTACTTCTCTCTCTGCCCTTCCCTCCTGCTCATGCTCTCTCTCTCAAATAAATAAATAAAATCTTAAAAGAAAAAAAAAGAAGAAGAATTTACTGTTCCAGAGCAATATGGGTGGTAATTGAACAGCATCATTCCTGTATAAAGTTGGATTGAAATTATACTTCACCTGATGAGAGGGAAGAACTCAAATATGGCATGTTGTCAAATCATGGGCCTATTAAAATTCTCCTCCTTTCATTGCTCTTTGTCTTACTAGTGACTGGACTCAGCCCCTCCCTGGTACACTATGGATCTGAACTACATACTGATTCAGGGCCTTGTCTCCTAAAATTCTGTATTTCCCTTCCAAGTTTCCACTAGAAATCAAGAGCAAATTTATTTTGACACGAGAAGATAGCTAAGCATTTGTGTCTCTATAATATTCTCAGAACATATTTTTAGGATACCAGACAGAAGATCATTTTTTTTTTTTCACCTGCTTAAATAACCTGAACAGATCTTTCTTTAGCAAGTCAGATTGGTTAAATTTCTCACAAAGTTTGAATAATTCAACTCTAACTTCTTGCTGTGTACAGTTTTCGTGTTTAAGGAAGGGGAATCAAGTATAGAAGTGATAATATGTTTCTTTTGAATATTGAAATGATGATTAGATTCTTTGGAACCTACAATTTTGGGGGCTTGTGAAGATGTGTCTTTGTAAGTTGGTGCCAAGAGTTAGGCATGCTATAATGTCAATCAGAAGGACTTTAGAGCATGAAGATTTTGACATTTACCAGCCAGATTCTTGGGCAAGTTTCTTAATTACTTAACTCTATAAAAATAGAAGAATATAATAATAATAATGATATTGTCCTTAAAGAGATTTCCTAAAATGCAAATAAAAAAAATGTAAAAGCTCCTTATGACCACAAAATACTAAGTACATGTTAGATTTGACCATAATTAATAATCAGTAGTAAGAAAAATATCAAAGGTACCAACTTCAGTTGTAAAGTAAATAGGTCCTGGGGATGTAATATACAGCATGGTGACTATATAGTTAATATACATTAACTGGATTATGTTTTATAACTGTATTGTATATTTGAAAGTCGCTAAGAGAGTAGATTTTAAAAGTTCTTATCACAATAAAAAGAAATCTGTAATTATGTGTGGGAATGATGTTATTGTGGTGATCATTTCACAATTTATACATATACTGAATCATTACATTGTACACCTAAACTAATATAATGTTATATACCAATCAGATTTCATTAAAATTGTTTCAAATCAATAAAGAGATTAGCTTAAATCTGTACTTAAAGAGCATGGTAAATTCCAAACTACAATCTAATATGGCTTTGAGTAAAGAATGAAATTTA